CCCGTATGCTGTAGGTGAATGGTTTTTATCCACTGATTTTCCGTTTCAGTACAGCCATTTTTGTTGTTTTGTTTTCTGCGTGTTTTCTGCGCACGTCATAACTGCTGTCATTTTGTCCACTCGTCCCCGAGGCTGTAGGTGAATGGTTTTTATCCACTGATTTTCCGTTTCAGTACAGCCATTTTTGTTGTTTTGTTTTCTGCGCACGTCATAACTGCTTTATTGTTTTCTGCAGCACAAATGTTACTCTGTAAGAACATACTTTGTTATAGTTTGAACTTGTTTAAGCTACAGCCGTAGTAATCCCTGAGAAGACATCGACTGGCCGTGGAAACATACACTGTTGTTGTAGAAGACCAGTGGTTCAGTCGCTGGACTACTACTGCCAGATCGATGGAGATCTTTAATAGCAATTTCCAGGCACCCTGATGTTATTGATTTGAGTCAACAAACATTTTACTTTGATCATTATGATCTCAGGCTGGCTAAACACTTCCTGGGGCCTTTCCTTCTCACAAACCTACAATTGATCTTCAAATGTTAATCTAGTGAAACCTGCCACACGTGCCATGTCCATCCAAGCTGAATCTTTGTGCCTCAAACTCTGTGTCGTTACCTAATCAGGACGTGTTCAACTCCTTCCTGCTCACAAACGGTTCATTAAAGGATCCCCTGAGGGCACAATAAAGTATATTTGATTTAATTGTTTTCCCTTTAACTCACCAACATGGTGCAATGAGCACTGAAACAGCTCAGAAAACTAATTAAAGACCGTCTAACTTTCTTTTTTTGTCAGCACACAGATGCAGTGACCCTGGGTCTCATTTAATGTTTCTAAGTATCTATTAATGTTCTTTGGTTACGTGTAGAGCAGCGAGACACAGGAGCAGGGGCTGATGGATGAGAAACATTAGATGCCCGGCAGGCACTGGACTCTAATATAATACAGTCATATACCTTTTTTTTTTCCTTTGTTGTACTTCATTACTTTTTCAGTTTTTGTTTAAATAATTCATTGTTCTCATTTTTTCCAATTTTTTTCTCAAAATCAATGGCGTGTCTTTCCGGAGATGAGAATGCTTTATTAATGTCAGATCTCTGCCGTGGCAGCAGGACCACCAGCCGAGCCACTCGGTCTGCTCGTAATTGACATTTTCTACTGATGAGAGTATTTATTATTCTCTCCTTTTCCACATGAGGCACCATCACCGACCGTAGTCCACAGACGGCCTGAAGTAGCTGGCTGTTTGTGTGGTATATAAGGTGAGCCCCTGTGTCTCCATGTGGGGAAAAAGTTTGTTTCTGAACGGAGGGAGGATTTTCATTCCAAAGCTTTGCAGAGAATAATTTGAGGGGAATGTCAGCTTTTGAAAAGGTGATATGCGCGGCGTGACCTTTAAAAACTCGCTCTTTTTTGAATCATTTGGTGAGCACATTTTTAGCAGATGCAGCAAAAAAAGGAAAAAAAAAAAACCAATATCCCACCTCTGGAGGACGGTGGATATTGACAACATTCACCGCCGCTGGTAATCTTAGCGGTTATAATCAGAATTTACATTTCTATCACATAATCGAAAGACTGAGGCTTTAAAATGGAGCACTTAGCACAGAGATTATAGTATAAAATTGGATGCTCGTCAAAAATAATGTGCGGTGTAAATAAAAATGTAGTTTCTGAAACTCCGTACGACCAGGCCGCAGTGAAAGCAGCGTCACTCCTGATGTTTGGCTAACGTGATGACTTTGAATTCAGTGGAGGCAGCAGATTGTTAACGGACACAATATCTTTTTAGGGACAAATGGTTTAATAAAACTGTAATAGTAAAATAATGTCATTATTGTCACGACAGAACTGCGGCCCTCAAGGAGGACAAAGTGCAGCCATTGAGAGAAGATGCGCTAATGTTGTTGCTAATCAAATTCAAGTCCAACGTCAGCCCAGTCATTAATTTTACTGACTTGGGACGCCGTTGTCAGCAGGCACATTATATTGGATGTAACACGACCAAATGAAAAGCAAAGCAGTACGATGTGATATATTACAGAAATAAATCCTATCAGGGAAATGCATTTAGAATGGGATCAGCGTAACTGCATCTGACACACTTCATTTAATCCTCATCTGTCAACTTTGGCTTCAGAATATGCTACATGCGTCTGTCTTAATGGATGGGCTGTGGCAACTTATAATAAAGTTTTAATGTTTTCTAAATGACTTCAGGTCACTCCTGTGTTTTTTGGGGATAAAAACACAGATTAAATACAATGATGGTTAAATTATGAATGGACAAAATCTTTGTGACCTTTGGAGCTTCTAAAGTGTTGCGAGCAGCCTAAAACCAGAACTGCACCATGAACAAGCAGGAGACTGAGTAGAAAGAATCCCATTCTGCTTGACTTTGTGTGATCGGTGCCGGTCACAGCGGTAGTCATCGGCACAGTGATTTGGCAGAATTATTTTGAGTGCCCTTCCTGGTAAAACCAAAACTTGGTAACTGAACACTAGGTGG